GTAGTCGTGGTGGTGGTGGTGGTCGTGGTGGTGGTGGTGGTGGTGGTAGCAGTAGTCAGTACTCTCAGTGTTGGAGGTTGTTCCGATGATGAAAAAACTGCTGTTGTGTGCATGACAACACATAATTTCACCTTCTTGGCGGAGGCGGTGACTGCTGTTGCCCCACACTAGGGATAGGACGCACAAGCTCGCATTCTTAGTGATGTCGCTGTTCCACAATGCCAGTGCGCATGCGGACTTGCTAGCTGCCATCACACACGTGTTGCAAGGCGTGTGTGGGGAGCTTTCGGAAGTCAAGACCAGGACCAAAACAGCTTGTTGCGCTCTGTGATTTGTGACTTGGCAGGAGCCTGGGTTGCATTCTGTCTAGTGCTGGCGCCTCAGAGATCATCTGTGCACGTCCAGCACTGTGCTGTCCGGCTGTTTGAATCAAAAGCCGGGTCTCTCGCCATCTGGGCCTCCAAGCCTTAAACAAACCAGGCACCAAACCCTGAAGAATTCGCCTTCTTGCTGTCCAGCCTTCAGTTCTTATTACGTTCCAGGGGTGTATGATACAGGCTCTACAGCATTCCTTTCAATCAAGTTGACCCAAAGATATCCCCCTTGCCACTCCTGTAATCTATGGTCTCAACAACTGGAATAGGTGCAGACCAGACCCAAATTATCACCGCAACCCTAAGGAAGACTCGCGGAAATCGTTCAAGCTTCTATATGTCGACCTGCTGCGTAGGGTGGCAGAGTTAGAGCACAAGAAGGGTTCTCCTTCCACTGAAATGAGCGTAACTTAAGTAACCCGCGCTATTCAGTTTTTAGTTTGGAGGTTTTTTGGACAGAAAAAGGGGCAAAGGAGAAGCTGAACACCCTAAGCCCTATAGGCTGTGGAGTTGGCGCCAGAGGCTTCGCATGGGAGTCTCGGAAACAACAAACGATCCTTGTACATGATTGAAAAGGATTCCCTTCTAAGTCAACACAACTCGACGAGAAGTACAGCTCAAGTCGGCACCGCCGGAAGCCCCTCCCTATTGGAGAGAAATCACTGGCGAACATTCCTTTTCAAGTCACCCCGCATAGCGGGGTCCTTGCAAAAGACACAACGACCGACGAATCCGGTATCCCTAGTTTCCAGAAACTCCCACATAGTCGGGCCTGGATAGCCTTCTACACCGGCTGCCCTTGGCAGACCCTTTCCAAGATTTCAACCTTATAACCCTAAACCCTAAATGGCCCTAAGCCATGAATGATGTCATCTACAGGGTCTGCCCTTGCGGGCTCGGCAGGGTTTCAGAAAATGAGGGTCTCCCAATAAGAACCCCGACTGCTAGGATCCATGGGGTCTTTCATGTATTGAATACCGAAAAGGAGTCCTCCGAAACCCCTTACATGTAAGCTCCTGGGGGCTCTGCAGGGTGGATCTTCATGGGCCTTGAACTCATCCTGCTGGGGACGCACTTCTGCCAGATCTCGCGCGCCAAAGGAGTCTCAGGAGTGTCGATTTAGGGCTTCAGGGAAGGTTCAGGGCTTTAGGGCTTTAGGGCTTTAGGGTTTAGGGTTTAGGGTTTAGGGTGTAGGGTTTAGGGTTTGGGGTTTAGGGTTAATTTGCAGCCGAGGGCTTTGGGTTTCAGGGCGTATCCGAATACCACGGCAAAGTAACGGTTCTGCCTGGTTCACTTGCCCTACCGCAGTGATGTTGAACGCAAAATCCTTCGGTGCCGAGACCTTCGGCCCCAGGAATAGGAAGGTTGAGCTGGTGACTGTGGATGCGGCGACTGTGGATCTACGAGCCCCCCAAATAGTTCAATGTTCCCTTCCAAAAATCCTGGCACCACTAAGCCCTGCACCCTAAACCCTAAACCGCTACCCTTATAAAACCCTTAAAGGAATCCCAAGCAACCCAAAGGGTGGCCGAGCAACAAGATCGTGAGGGTCACGCACTTGTACGAAAGCGTACCCCTTGCACTTCGAGAGGCCTGTTTTGGGCATCTCAAGCACCTGGGAGTTTACCGTTTAGGGATTAGGGTTTAGGGGGCTCCTTCCAGCTTTCTTTAGGTGCCCTACTATCGCGGGTTCTGAAAGGGTAGGAGTGTATCGTTTACAGTGGTGGGTTTCGGGTGGAATAACCCGTAAAACCTTCAAGCCCTCAGCCAAAGATCCCTTCTCACTCACATACTTACCTGCCTGCCTGCCTGCCCACCTACGCACCCCTACTTACCTACATAGGAGCATGCATACAAACATACGTATGTGCAAACACACATACATGCTTACATGCCTGGCCTTAGGTTTACTCTTTCGCTTTCTCCTACTCCTACACTTACCCTTGCTTGTACCCCTAATCTGACTCTTTCTCTTACTCGTCCTCCTACCTTCCTCTTACTCTTGGTTTTACTCGTTCTCTTACTCCGTCTCTGGCTTTTGCTCTTGGTTCTACTCAAGTCTTACTCCCACTCTTATTCTCACTCTTACTCTTACCCCTTCTCTTTCTCTACTCTTGCTTTCACACTTATTCTTACCCTTGAATCCTATGCTTACTTACTTCAAGCATACATGCATAAGTACATACATACGTGCATCCCTACATGCCCCCCGTGGCTTCATCCTTGGACCCTTGGAAAGACCTTTCTGGGCCGTTACACAAACATCTACCGGGAACCCCAAACCCCAAAATCCNNCCCCCCCCCCCCCCCCCAAATCCCTATAGAATCCCTCTGGGACCCTTACAATGCCACAAAGAGGTTCACTCCAAATATCAGAACAGAAAGATAAGGGGCCCAAATTCAAACAGAAACGCTTGCGTTGATAGTAGGATCCTTCGTGAGAATAGCCCCCGCCCCCAAAGCTTCTGAATCCCTAAGGGCATCGGAAGCACATAGTCGCCAATAGCGAGGGTGTTGAGATACATTCGAAACTCTGGCTCCGTGCAGCGAGCGGGAATGTTGCGGATCATCCTGTGCTGTTCTGGCTGGCCGGAAAATGTACTTGTTGTTCTTGCTGAAGATTAAACAACTAATCATACAGTCTCTTCCTGCCTACAACTGGCCAAGCTTTTTGTGTTGCTAGAATGCTGGCTCTACTAAGATTTGGAAAGGATTTTCAAGAACGGCCCAGAATCATCTTCGTCGCCGCTAGCCACTGGATGCT